TGGGGCAGGGAGGGGCAGGATATGGGGGTTGATGGGCCGTGGGGCTGGGTGTGGGGCAGGGCGGGGCGGGACTCCGTGACTTACCTTGATCACCTCGGGACATGCATAGTGGGGAGAGCTGGGGGGCCAGCAATGGGGGAAGAAGAGAGAGACAGACAGACAGACAGACAGAGGGAGAGACAGAGTGAAAAGGAGGCTCAGTCCCGGGGAGGGGGCGGCTGAGTCACACAGGCCCCGCCCCCTCACCCCACACCTCCCCATGGATGCCCCGCCCCACCCCCAGCCGGGGCGGGGAGGGGGGGCGCCGAGGGAGACAGCGCCTCCGGCAGACCCTCCTCCCTGCCGGCCAGTCCTCCGAGGCCCCCGCGGATCTCAGCCCCCCCGCCCTGCCCCGCCAGCCCCCCACCCCGTGGGGCTCACCCACAGCTGGTCTCCAGCAGGCTGGCCCCGACCTGCAGGGACGCCATCCCGAAGTCCGCGATCCGGATGTTGTTCTTCTCGTCCAGCAGCAGGTTCTCCGGCTTGAGGTCACGGTGGCTGCACCGGGGCAGAGGGAGGGTTAGAGACCCTCGGGGGGCTAAGAACCGGCCCTGCCCCCAGTGCAAATAGGAGTGACTCTGGATTGACCCTAGGGGGCTGAGATCAGAACCGGCCCTGCCCCCAGTGCAAACAGGAGTGACTCCAGATTGACCCTGGGGGGCTGAGATCAGAAACCTATCCCCAGTGCAAACAGGAGTGACCCCGGGGGGCTGAGATCAGAACCGGCCCTGCCCCCAGTGCAAACAGGAGTGATTCCAGAATGACCCTGGGGGGCTGAGATCAGAACCTGCCCTACCCCCAGTGCAAACAGGAGTGACTCCAGATTGACTCTTGGGGAGCTGAGATCATAACCCTATCCCCATTGGAAACAGGAGTGACTCCAGATTGAGCCCAGAGGTTAGAGATCGGAACCAGCCCTTCCCCCAGTGCAAACAGGAGTGACTCCAGATTGACCCTTGGGGAGCTGAGATCATAACCCTATCCCCATTGGAAACAGGAGTGACTCCAGATTGAGCCCAGGGGGCGGAGATCAGAACTTGGCCCTGCCCCCGTTGTAGTCGGGGTGACTCCGGATTGACCCGGAGGGCTGAGAGCAGACCGACCCTGCCCCCAGTGCAAACAGGGGTGACTCCAAATCAATCCGGGGGGAGGAGGGGGGTCAGCTCAGAACCCGGCCCGGCCCCCAAACCCATCACTCGTGGTGAGGGGGAAAAGGAGAGGATAAAAGACATACTATTGCTCCCAGCGAGGGAAACGCTGCCTGAGCGGGAGTGGGGAGAACAGGGCGGGAGGTAGGGGTCACGGGGCCGGG